AGAGAGGATTAGAATTACCAAGTCATTTTAACCATTTGGAGCAGTTTAAAGTTAGCTTTCCAGTTGCCTTCACATTCATTTTCTCTCTTTTTATACCAGTTCACTGTATTGTCATGCTTGTTGTCTTTGATTCTCATAAACTGATACTTCGGTGGTGACAGTGGGATGTTGTCTCATTACAGGCTTCCTCTCCAGATGAGTTCACTTAGTGCCAATTTACTATTCAATACTGGATGCTATTGTCAACTGTACTCTTTGCCAATTCTTCTTTTTCTTTTTTTTCTATGTAGTGGTCACCTCTACATGAGAAGTTTACTGTGCAGTTGACTAATTAAGTGCACGGTAAACTTCTTGGCGTCTACACACAGGCTTCTATTAGGGTGCACGAAACTAATAAACTCTCCAGCAGGGTAGTCTTGTAAAATACAAGTGCTAACCTGCTGTGGAAGTTTTTTTTTTTGTGGTCAGCAGCGCATGTGTAGACATTTCCCCAGCTAGCTGGGGCACAGGGTGCTTCAGTGTGGGGCTAGTTGTCAGGCAGCTCCACTCCCCAACCCAATAAAGCACTTTTATGCCCCAGCCAGTTGCTCTGAAGCACATGGAGTTGGGCAGAGTAGGCAGCCCAGAGCTGTTCTGACAGGGTCCATGTGCATGGGGGGGAGGAAGTGCTGGCTGAGGCACAAAGGTGCTTCAGTGCTGGGCTAGCCAGCAGGCACCCCTGCACTGAAGTATCCTTTTGTCCCAGCCAACCCCACTGCTGCACATGGAGCCCCGTCTGAGCAGTCCTGGCTGGCAGGACAGGGCTCCATGTACAGCATGGGAGCTAGCTGGGGCACAAGGGTGCTTCAGTGTGGGGCTGCCTGCCAGCTAGCCCCGCACTGACACATCCTCATGCCTCAGCCAGGGCCCCTGCAGCACATGGAGCCCTGGGCTGGCAAACTGACCCCCTTGGTTCCCTGCCAGTCTGGGCTGATTCGGCTGGTCTCCATATTCTGCACATGAAGAAACTCCAGAGCAACAAGCGCCAGAGTTTTTTGCTCCCAGGCCCATGTTCAAACACTGTACCCAGGAGCAAAAAACTATGGAGCAATAAGCTCTGAAGTTTATTTGTGTGCATTAATGGCATGTGTAGATGCTCCCACAATGCCCCCGTCTAAAGATATATTTTGCTCCTGCCTTAGTAACTGGTGTTCCGTTACACTGGGGGACTATGCAGGGGATATATACACCTCTTGCATGGCATAGAGGTCCACAGAGACCCAAGATTAATTTGACAAAGCACCATGGAAGGCAGTTGTCTATGCTGGGGAAGGCAAAGGACCAGGGCATCATCCAAGGTTGTAGTTTCTTAGCTATTCTGTTTCCTGGGAGGATTTTTGCCTCCACTCTGCACCTTCCTGTCAGGTTGATTAGGTGTTGTGCAAAGATTTTGCTTCTATAAATTGTGTCTTAGAGCAGTTCAAACAAATATAAACTGGCAATATTAACACCTCCCCCTATCTTCCGGGTTGTGAGGAAAAGTGCTTTAAAGACTGAAATGGATTCAGGTACAATGGTGAGTGTGGCTATATAAGTGCCTTTGATAAATACCTACTTATAACCTTGCTCCCTTAAGTTAGCCAAATTGCACTCAAATATCTGAGGGCAAATCTTGTTTTTTGCCTGCTCCTGAGTGCAGCCTGATGCCAAGCCTCAGAAGAGCAAAGAAAAAAAAAGGAAGTTTTGCAGAGACTTGTCAATCTGATGTGTGAGACACAAATCCTATATGCTGCAGCACTTCATGTTCAATAATTTGAAAGGGCAACTTTGAACTATTTCAGTTTGTGTTTTGTTAAGTGTTAAGCAACAGGGTATGAAGTTACAGCTTAACATCAGGACTCTCAGGGTGTTCCCTGAGACACTAAATTGAATTAACCTTTTGGCTGCTTCTATTTAACCCGCTGTGACTTGGAGAGTCTGTAAGATGTTTTTCAAAAACAAACAATCTAATTAAAACTTATAAACAGAGAAGCACTTGGAGCAGCTGTTAGTACGTAGCTATTGTAGTTTTAGTACAACAATTTGATAACTGATGATTCCTTTATTATATTTTGTTTGCAAGCATATTTCTGAAGTCTGAATCAAGTTTTCTGCTGGCATAAATCTGCTGAAGTCAGTAGGACTTCACCAGCAGGCAGCAGGGAATTCATCCTGTTAGCAAAATTAACTTGATATAACTTCAGTGACACCTGTGGCATTTTCCTAAGGTGGATACGGTACTGTTTTTTCAAGGCTAGAAAAGTAACCGGTGCAATGATTTATTATTTAAAAGGACACAGGAGTAAAGACGGCCATTCAGTTTATTCTGACTGATTTATTATATAATGTTGGGCCAGTGTAATTGAAAGCAGACTTTAGATACATAACTCTAAGAACTTGTCAATTCCTCTTTTTCCCTCATAATCACACCATTTATAGTTTGTTAACAGAGTATTAAACCATACAGAAGAGCAAACTTGGTGCATCTCATAGAGGATGCTTTTTAACTCATATTTGTATTGAAAATGTTTTGAACACTGTGAACAGATCCTATGTACAATTGCATAGCTAGATCCCCAGGTAATGGAAACTGGATTGAAGGATCTGCTATAAAATCTTTAAAATGGAATTGTAATATATAACCTGACTTGCCCCTAAGGGAGTGAAGAGGGCATTGGTAACTGTGCTACAAATCCTTCCCTTTGTCCAGTCCATAGGGAATGTAAGTTCTTAAAGCTCCTAACTACAGAGGCATGGATCTTTAATTTAAGCTGCATTAATTCATGCTTTTAACTCATGAGATCCTACACTCAGTGGGTTCCTATACACATGCTCCAATGCGTTCTAATTAGAATGCGTTGGGAGTGTTCTAATTAGAACACACCTGCATGCTGCAGTGTCACATGTATTCAGCATCCCACGTTTCAGAATGGTGGCAGGGGTGCTTTAACTAAAATGTATTGAATGGGCTTTAGTTAAAGCACCTCCACAGCCTGTCTGAAATGTGGGACACTGAATACATATGATGTTGCAGCATTTTAATTACAGTTGCTATCTGGGAGCCTCTCGAATTAAAAATCCTCCCCAACTACCCTGGAGCATGTGTATTGACAACCAGTGACTCTGTGGGCATATCTATACCACAGTGGCACCAGACCTTAAAGACCAAAGGGATGAGTTTCCACCAGAGACTCTGCCCACCCAAGTCTGCTGTTTCACTCCAAACCTGGGAATTCATCAAGTTGCTTATCCCTAGTGCCCACCGTTGAGCCCTTCGCCTCTGATGGGCCTGAGAACAGCTGCTGGGACTAATCCATAACAGCTTCTCTGGATAACTTTCAGAAGCTCATCAGCATACTTAGGTGGGTAGGCCATAAGAAAAGCATGCTCAGCCAGTCCTCTCCATGACCTGCCACTGTAGTGTGGGCAAGCCCTCTGTTAGCCAAGAAGTAGTTATAACAAGTGCACAATGTGAGGAGGACAAAGGAACCTTCTTTCTTGTAGACTTAAGCTACAACTGCCTGATCCTGCTAGGGTAGAGAACAGGTGGGGTTGGGAGGATATAGGGCTGGGACCTCACCCCTTTTCTCTACCAGTCAGCAATACTGCACTTCATGAAAGGGTGCAGCAATATGGGTAGTCCTCGCCGCACAACACATCCTACTAAAGAGGAGAGCAAAGCTAAGGTCTACTGAGTTTGGAATACCTGAGCACTCACGGCTCCATTTAAAGTCACTCTGAGCTATAGATTTGAGAATCAGGCCCCACTATTTTAAAGAAAATATTCATTAACCTTTGAGATGTACAAGTATGTAGGTGTAAAAAATTCTACTGGTTATAAATAAATGCAAGAATTTAATCTGACCTCACAAACTTATGGTTGTGTGCACGATTCTAGAAATCCCCTACATACATGAGTAATCTCACTGATTAGGATCAAGCCTCTTCATTCGAGTCTACCATTGTTTAAGCCTACTTCTTTCCAGGAGGTAAAGTTCTAGTTCAAAAATATTAAATGTAGGTGCTGTAGCAATGAGCTATGATGATGTAGGTTGTTACTACGGCAGTGTAGTGTCAGTGGGCATAAACCATGATGCTGATGCTACTGCCCATTGCTCAGTAGCTCATTGCTACTGCACACTAGGGTTGGAAACGACCCATGCACTGCCGGAACAGTGCAAGAACAGTGGTTACTGTGCTGTATCAGCTACTCAGTTGAGGGCACATGTAGACACATCCTGCATGAAAGATTTTGATTCTTTTTTATTTTTGATGACTAAATGTTTGGCACAATAAGTTCTACAGCTCTGGCTTTTAGGAGGTTTTATAAGATGCTTTTAAAGAAAATTGTGTGGGTGTTTGTTTTTTAATTTTGTTTCAGAGCTAACCTCTAGAAAAGATCTTTATTTATTTCAGTGCTTCACAAACTGTCCAAAACTATTGCACCAGGAAGATGCTGGAAGAAGTGAATAAAAGATTATGCAAAGTGAAATCCAGTAACCCTTTTAGTACAATGAACTGTAGTATAACTTTTACTAAGCTAAGAAGGTTATTTCATCATAGTCATATTTTAAAAAGTTATCTGCATTTAAAAGTCATGTTAGACGGGTCCTCTGTTATATAAGTGTTATGCCTTTTCAAGTTTAGTATTGCAATAAATGTCAGTCAGAACTATTTCCTGAAATATGAATGCTGGGTTTATTTAATTTAGGGTCTTAAGTATTTTTCTCTTCGGAATAATAAATATGTAAGATATAGGATCTCTTCTATGTAAATGCCACATTTTGTGAACATACAGAGGTATATTTAGATACTGTTAAATTCTTAGTCATGATTTTAAATGTAAAGCATGGATTTATTTCTGTCAGTACAGTAGTGAGCTTTCATACATGTAAAAGAAAAATAATTTTCACTGAAGACTTTGATTCACTTGGAAAGGTGTAAGATGCTATATTTTTAACAGTGGCTTTCTGCTTTGGAAGCTCCTCCTAGAGAACTGACAGAGGAAGAAAAACAACAGGTTCTCCATTCAGAAGAATTCCTGATATTTTTTGACCGGACAATACGTGTAATTGAACGAGCTTTGGCTGAAGATTCAGATATATTCTTTGACTATAGTGGCCGAGATGTGGAAGAGAAGGATGGGTCAGTTCTTTTTCCTTTTCTAAAGTATAAATCCATTGTATATGGGATCAAACTTGTGAAAGTTTTATTTTAAATCTAAAACCAATATGGTAGAACAGTGGCTTCCAGTCTTTTGGTACTGTGGGCCTGTGAGCTGGATCCCATGTAAGGTCAGTCCATGAATGTGGCCCACCCCCATATGCCTGGATCCAGCCACATGCTGGACTGACCCAACTCTGCGCACCGAGATCTGGCCATGTGGGATCTGGCCATTCACTAGAAAGATTAGCACATTTAGGGCCACATTTTCTGGCTCACACGACTCCCCATGGGTCAAGATATTAGGCAGTAGGTTAGTGTCAGTTAATGCTGGCACCATTATTTTTCCATAAAGTTCCCAAAACCTTGGGGTACTGGTTCCATGGGTCAAATGGGGCCCACAGCCCAGAGGTTGAGCACCACTGCTGTACAGAACCGGCGGGTAAAAGATCAGAAGTTGATATATTTGAAATCTCTGATCATATTGCTGCACTGAGTTATTTTGTAAAATACCATCTTGCTTTATTTCTCTGATTTGTTTTAAAGCTATTTTAGAGCTGCCCTAAATGTCAAGATTTTGATGACATTTCAAATAGTAATAAAAATGTGAAAAATATGAAAAAATCCTAATATTTTGTCCAGCTTCAATTGGTGTCACTTTCTATTTATTTTGGATTTAAGACCAGATACCTAAAGGTTGTTTAACACCTAACAGTGTAAACAAACACCTTATGCGATGTTTAGAAATACTTCAATGGCTTATTCCCATTAGATGCCTGGGTACTTCTAAAAATGCAATGGGATGTTAATCTATATTTTTAGTGCTTTAATACTGTATTTTTACCACATGTAAGTACTTTTAAGGTGCTAAGTGATGCAGTTACTGACTAGATCTTAGAGAGGTATAACATTAATTACAGTTCTTTTTAATGATATGATGCATCTTTCAGCTAATATAAAGAACCAAGGTCTTGACCACCTGTGATCATTAACAGGCCATTGCAGATCTCTCAAAAGTAGGGGTTAGTCCTGGAATCCTAGCTAGTTTCCACCATGTAACTGTATCTGTATCCTGCCTAACTAAATCCCTCTACGGTCCTATCATTTCAATTGTATATAGAAGTCTTCATTTACAGTCCTAAGCCTTTCAGTGCACCACTGAACAGCTGCCGAAATTCACTCCAGAAGTTCCTGCACTTTTTGGAATGGTTAAAATGATTCTTTTAGGTAGAGTTTATACAATCAATTTGCAGATTTAAAATGAGCCCACTTAGCTGAAAAGCACTATGTGAGCACAAGATCACAATCAATACATATCCTAAATGTAAAGCAAAGTTTCTGTGTCTAAACTTTTAATAAAAGTGAAAGCCAAATTTTAATGGGGTTAGATGGGATGACATCCACATCTCAACTACTAGCCCTCAGGCAGACTGCAGGATTTCAGCTGCAGTTCCAATCTACAAGATAGAATGATGAATAGTATCTAACCCTCTGTGGAGTTTCTCAGCCACTGAATTTATATGACCTTTTGTTCAGCCCCACTCCCAACAACTCCTTTTTGTGCTAATCTGTTTGAAGCTTGTGCAGAGCCTATCTTTGTACATGAGGTTTGGAGGTCACTTGCTTAGCTGACGTATTGGTGCCATTTTCAGAAGGCTACTGAAGGATTTCTCTGACATACAAACAGTAGGTGAATCCATAATGCAAGCAAGAAGGCCAAACCTAGTAAGGAGATGCATATGTAAGACTTAGTTATTTGGACCCCAGTGCTGATACTTATGTGGATTTGGAGCTACAGCACATTATGGCTTCATAAGAACCGTGCCCGGTCAGTAGTCACTGTGGAATATATGATCTATTTTTTATATTGTAAAAAATAGGGGTTAAATCAGGCCTCTAGTCATGGACCAGGGTCCTATTGTCTTATACAACTACAGTACAAGAGTTTACAATCTAAGTATTAAAGCAGAAGCCAAGAGGAGGATGCAGGCAGATAGATGAAGGCAGCAATGAGGCAGTGCTGGGCAGCACAGTAGGTAGTATTTAACAGCTGCCTGTTTAATGGCAAGGTGTTTTTAAAACATCTTAGTAAAGGAGAATTTGAAGAAGGAATTTGAAGAAGGACCTGGAGGTGTTAGTTAGGAATTCCTGCCACATGTGAGAGTGCAGCATGAAGAAAGGGGGCATATGTTTAATAATCTAACAAGCTGGCTAAACTGAGGGCTGGTATTGGTGGCTAATTGGAGGTGTGAGTGCACATCGCATTAACATGTAAGAGGCCATGGGTAGAAGAAGCGTATGTCTGAACATCCTTGAAAATAAAGACCATACGCTGTTTGGTGTGATAGAGAAAGAATAAAAAGGGAAGGCTGATATGGTCAAAGCAAAGAGTGAGGAAGATACATCTTGATTCAGTGCTTGGAATGGAAATGAGTGAAGAGAGAGACTTCATTTGTCAAGTCCAGAGAAGAGGTTGCAGTAGTCAAGAGATAGAAATATAGGAATGTCAAGGACTTTTGGTGTAACTGAATTCAGACCACAGACATCCAAGTTGTGTAATCCCTTCCATGATTTTATCGAGCTCCATATTAAAATAAGTTTATATTCCTTGCCCCAGTCTGCCTCTACTGGAACACCATTCCACACTCTTCTGGTTGTTAGAAACCTTCTTTTTCATATACAGACTAAATATATTCATGATCAATTTATGTCAACTGGTTCTTTAGCTGGTCTTGATAATGAGAGTTGATGAGAATTGGGACAATTGTTTTAGCTCTGTGGATGTCGTGCCTTACTGTTTTAAGCAGACAGAATTAGCAAGAGATAGACACAGTTAAATTCTCTAAAAGGGAGTGAGGAGTCTATGATAAACAGGTCATTGCCTTAAGTGGCATGCAGGATGATGATGTTGCCCACTATGACTGAGAATGGCCAATGGGGGAAAGCTTTGGGAGGTAAAAAGGGAGAATTATAAATACTATTTTGTCCACATATGTCCAAAATGTCTTTCTTTTTAGCCCCATGACAAGATGGCCAATGAGCTGAAATAGCTAGAATTAAGTAGCATGACAAGGCTTGAAACAAGGGGTGTGAGGATGAGGTGTGTGTGGGGTGGGTTGGACTTTTTTACATTAGTTGTCATTACGAATGAGCCTGGGTACTTTAAAGCATGTCTTTGTTGTTTAAATCCACACAGAGATGTTCAAGCTGGAGCCAACCTTTCCTTTAATCGTCAGTTCTATGATGAGCATTGGTCCAAGCATCGTGTTGTCACCTGCATGGATTGGTCTCTTCAGGTAAGCTGTGAAGTTATGAGCTATATAGCCATCTCGGGTATTTCCTTTCTTTTTTATTTGATAAGGTTTTGTGTCTTTGATATTAAGTGTTTTTTAACGACTGGATTCTGAATGAGAGTATAAATATGGGTAAGGAGGAATAAAGACTATATGAAACTATTAGTTTTATGTGTTTTATGTTAAAAGAAATCATGACTTAACATTCAAACTATGTATTAATACTCTTACCCAGATGTAAAACCCTCTGGTTTTAACCTCCCCTCCAAAATTTCCTTAATGTAATTGAACATTTTTTAATAAAAGACTTTGTGATATGTTGAAATTTTAAAATTTAGAGACTTCATAAAATAAACTGAATTGCAAGCAGGAGTTAAGTGGAAGAAAGAATTTAATATTTTGATAGTTTTATTTCTCACAACGTAGTAAGTAAATCCAAATGTGAATGTACCTGACTCTACCTAACATTTTCAATGGAGTGCTACAGAAGCCAAAGGATTTTATGGAAAATGGCAAGTCTAGCTTGTCACTGGCTACCTAAGGTTTACAACACTGAGCTTCCTTCTTGCAGACCTATAGGACAGGAGACTAGGCAAACCACTAGTGCACAAGGATGACAGGAAGTATCCATACTCCTGGGCACCTTAGAAAGTCAATGTGTAAAACCATGGACCAAGTCTTGTTCTACCTTTGGGCATCTTAGGCAGATACATAAATAACACTTAGTGCCACTTATATGAATTTTAGAACCCATTTCCAGGGAGATCGCCTTGGGTTCTGTCCCCTGTTCTGCCTCTAATACTTTCTGGCCATTTTATCTAATATCTATTTCAATGGTTCTCAACCTGTTTAGGTTTGAATCACCCCTTGTTATTCTTAAAGCACCCCTCAGGAAGTGCTAGCTCTTAGTTTTAACTCATTTTTTTGGCTACAGAAAAGTACTGGAGCAGTTTTTCTTTTGCAAAGAATTCAACAAGAACACAACAGGTTAGAATGGTTTTAACATCACGGATTCCTTTATGAAATTTCTGGATTCATCTTGTTTTGCACACCTAACAGTTCTTACATTATGTAGCACCCTGGCACACCATTGAAAGGATCTCAAGGCACCCCAGGGTGTCATGGCAACCTGATTGAGAATCTCTGGTCAATTTAATGCAAGAAACTGCACTGGGGGCACCCTCTTGGCAACCTGGCTGATAAGCTAGCTTCAATAGCAATATTGAGGGTGTTCTTTATCCCATGATATGTGCTTAGGGCACTTTTCTAAAAGAGACATGTAGGTTCAAACCTCCTGTGGGTGAAAGAGGGCCAAGAACCCAGGTCTCCCATTTTTTGTATAAATATCTGAACCATTAGGATTGGGTTGAAACAGGAGGTTTCAACCTGTTTTTGGCTGTGTACTCCTTTACCTGCAAAATATGGCTGCTTTTACCCCTTACACTCAATGCGTCTCTATTAACACCAACATGTGACAATGCCATTATTCACTGTGTGTTGACCAATCAGAAGCTCTACTGACATTATTAAAATTTAGGCATGTACCCTTTGACAAAGTGTTGTATACCCCCCATAATACACATTCCCAGTTTGAAAACCACTGGACTAAAATATGGGTGGGTTCTTCTCCAGTTGTTTTTTTCCTGACTGAAATTTCTGGGATTTATATGGAATGAGACACTTTCCCAGGTGAACAAGATTGCAGCAGAGCATAAGTGGATATAGTGGATCACTTTGATACATGCTCAGATAGACAAATATAGTTATGCAAGTAGGAATAGGATCTAATATCTATATAAGTGCCACTAAAATACCACTAGACATAGAGTGACCATATGTCTCGGATTGGCTGGGAGAGTCTTGGATTTTAAAGGCTGTCTCAGCATCCTGGGCATTGGAGAAAATTTAAACAAAAGTACTAAATTAGTGGGAACCTGGGAGCTGTGGTATTGTGTGTGTGTGTGTGATGCTGTCCTGCCTCGTCCCACTCTTGGGAGCTGTGGGGTGGAGAGACAGACAGACAGAGTGACACTGAGTGAGTGTGTGGGGGGCAGTGAGAGGCAGCGTGGGGCAG